TGAGGAGGACTCCGAACACTCCACGCAGAGCGAAGAAGAGGAAGAAGAGGACGACGACGACGACGAGGATGACGGGAGTGCCTCAGCCAGCCCTACCCGAAGCGAGAAGGACAGTCAGGTGAAAGAGAAGAGCCACAAGAAACATCGCAAACACAAGAAGCATCACAAGAAACACAAGAAGAGTAGCAGCAGCAGCAAGAAGCATGAAGAAGCGGAGAAGAAATCCTCTTCCCACAAGCATAAACATAAGAAATCAAAGAAGTCTAAAAAGAGTAGTAAATAGTTATAAATGAAGTTAATTCTGAATCCATATATAATTGTCGACAAATATTACATACTAAATTATTTTTGTTAAAAAAATATAAAGAGACTGAGGAGGAATTAAACAAGTGAATGTGTTACCGTATTTGATAAGCGATAAGGCCGCACCGCCGCATAGGCCGCACTCCAACTTTGACATTTCAAAGAGGGAAAAAAAAAAAAAAAAAGAAAAACAAACAAACGGACAAAACAAAATAATCATCATTTTCTCGAAAACAATATATTTTTTTTTTACAAACTGGTACTAAAATCATCAATATTCTTATAATTTACTGGAAGTTTAGCTAAAAAAGTGATCGCAGGCAGATTTGGTGTCCGATTTATACCCCTACCACAGTGTACGGTGTAATGCGAAACTGCATGAAATGAAAAACAAAATGGCGACTTCGGATGGATGTTCGTGTCAGCTCCGTTAAACGGTCCCTTCCCTTACTTTTGCAATGCATTGGCACGAACTTAGATCAATATCTATCGGCAAATGTTGTGTTAGGACGTTTTTTTTTCGTCTTCATGTCAACAATGCAAGATAAAATTGTTGGTAAGATGTGTAGAAATGTCCTGTTCCATAGTGGTATAGTTATTTTACCGTTCCCAGTCCCATATGTGCAAATTCGTGCTGGTTTTGACTTTCGGTTTTTTTATTTTTTTTTACTCTTTCGCCGTAAAGGCCGCACCCCGACTTTTTGATATTTTCTCTTCCAAAAATATTGCGGCCTCATCCATACTAATGATCACTAGGGTTTGGGCTATCTCAGTGTATGATGTTCAGCGTTTAAAGTAAATTTTGCTAAAAACATTCAATGTTTACAGTTGTGTGGTCCAAACATTCACCAATATGAAAAATTATATTAACCACATAAGCAATAATTCGAAACGTTTTTCTCTCTCAGAATACTATTTCATGTCCAGGGACCCGTTTCACTAAGCCTTTTTTTAATGACAAAAATCAGCTGATAACCAATCAGAAGCAAGGATTTCAGTAGCTTATAACAAAAACTGTCATTTGTCACTGATTACAAATTTTGTGAGATTAGGCCCATAACTCATGATTACATGGGTGCCCTGTTTCATCAGTCTTGATATCATTGACAAGCCAAGGAGTATTGAGATCTACTACTGAGATCATTGCACTTATGCAGGGCCCCTATATAATCATGAGTTATGGGCCTCATCTCACAACTTTGTTAACAACAAATGACATTTATTTTGGGTGAGCATTTTTTTTAAATGGGGCCTAGATGTCTTTTCTTTCCTTATTTTTATCTTAAAATATTGTCAAAAATAACTGAAGTGTGTGTTGACATGTGCTCGTTACCCCGTTATAATATAATACTTCACTATTTTTTGTAATAGTCAGAGCAAGTATTAAGTTGAATTTTACATATCTTCGTCAACCTTTTTTTTATATTGTTTTACAAGTTACTTGTGTTCTGTGCCTGACATTTATAGGTAATTCCTTTTTCAAGTTCTGTTAATACAGGCTAATCTTTTTAAGACCATCATATGTTCCTGAAACTCCTAGTTTAGGTACAACAGTGCATTTTTTGACATTTAAACAAGAAAATGTTGGATATATTTATGAAGTTTTTGATGAAAACGGGTAAAAAATTGTTTTGTGGTGTTCTGCGTTGGCTTAGACAAAAATTATGTGCAAATTAAATTTAGGAAATTTTGATTGACAAAGTCATTTATTATTGTGTCCATACTGTTAGGTTTAATAGTTTTCACACAAAATTTGAGCCTGTCTTGTACATCAAAATAAAACCATCTACAACATTTCGGTCTGAAAGATTGATGTCTTTCTGGCAAATACAAAACAGATTGATTTATGCACCCTGTCATATTTCATTATCTCTAAGATTATCAGAATTTGTTTGTGTTGAGTGTTTTGTGCAATGAATTATTACATATATGCAAAAGCATACATGAATATGTATTTAAGTTCCCCCTTTTTGCAGCATATACTGTTCTGATTGTACTGATTGTAATTTGTATTTATGAGTTATTTTGACAATGCAAGCTGTGTCCAACTTTGACAAAAAAGGAAGTAAGTGCTAAATGACACACATTTCTTTTCTTTTTTTCACTTAAGATAAGCAAAAGTAAACGTGGATGGGTTTTCCTTAATATAGCGGTATGCTCAATTTTATAGAGAAGGTCGAGTTCTGGTAACATTGAAAAATGAGTTGTGAGCTTTGTTATTTTGTTTACATCGGTTTTGAAGAATATTTGTGCTAGAAATGTCTCCTTTAAAGGTTTGCTCTTCAAATGCCCTCAGATTCGTTATTTAATGAATAATAGCTGAAAGTTTTAGGAGTCCTAAATATGGACCAAAACTTCATCCAAGATGTGTGTATGTTCCCATATACCTTTTTTTTTGTGTGTAGTTTTTAATCAAGATTGAGTCGTTTTATTTTCATTTCATCTCCAAAGCCTCACAATGGACATAATCAACATTTCCCAAATGTTTCTTTCACAATTTTCACAATTTCATGACATGACCAGCTCTCTACTTAATCTTTAATTCTCCAAACTTGTCCTGTATCATTTGTTTGACCATCATTTTCCCCATATTTCAGATGACAGTTGCTTTCTTTTGTCAAGTTGGGCATACTTTGATGTGTCCTATTGCTTTCCACTTGGTGCAAAAATCAAAAGAATGATGATGAAATTATGTAAGCCTTATGTAACATATTGAAAGAAAGGTATTTCTGTTGTATAATTTGTACATGCTTTATAAGTGTTTCTTCCAAATGAAAATGATAATCTGTAAGAAATGAATTATTTTTGTGGCATCGCTTTTGAAAATAGGTACTAACTGTACTATGTATATATATATATAAAATTATTTGTTCAGTTTGTATATAATTTCTCGAAATAAAGAAAAGAAAGAAACAATAATTTACCTTTTGAGAATTACTGTGTCAACGATGGCGTTGTAGTGGGAGATGATCTTCAGTTGTAAGTTTAATAGCCATTGCACCTTATGACCAAACTGCGACTCAATTTGGGAAGAATTTACTTCATGATTTTATTTTTATTTCAAAATGATGATTGCTTTCAAGACTTAAGGGCAGTTTCACTTTCAATACACTTGTATATTCCATAGAACTTTTGGTCAGATGACAAAAAATGTCCTGCATGGCACATTTCAATAGGTGATTATTATCGAAGCCTTTTGAAATTGCCTGATGTTGATTTTTGAAAAGTCTTTGCAATTGTCTCGGTGGTTTGTTTGTAAAATGTGCAATGGTCTTGCTATGATACATGGATGAATGGTAGCGAGAGAGAAAGAAAAATAGAGTGAGGGATACCGTAGTAAAGTCTAAGTGTTTGTGCCTGAACGATCAAAGAGGGAAGTAGATGTATTTATATAGGACAGAAGGAAGGAGGAGAGAAAGGATAGAGCAACAAAAAAAATGGATGTGGATTGTAGTGTGAGAGCAAAAGTGAGACGGAGAAAAAAATAAGTTGAAGAGAAAGACGGAGCGAGGGACCAAGCGAGCGTCGGAGGAGAATAATTGTGGATGGTAGTGAGGGAGCAAATATCAGAAAGTTGGAGAGGGAGAAGAAATGAAAGACGGAAGGGGGTGGGGGTGGGGAGTGTGTGTAAGAGAGAAAGCTAGAGAGATTGAATAGGCGACGAAGAAAAATATATGTGGATGTAGTGAGGGAGTGAAAATGAGACGAGAAGAGAACATCTGAGAGAGGGATGGAGAGAGAGCAAGCAAGAAATGAATTGAATGAGCGACAAAGAAAAATCAACATGGATGGTAGTGAGGGAGCAAAAAAGGATATCTATGAAATTTGTATGAGCAGTTTGATTCAGTAATTGTAACCTGTATGGACTTAACACATATTGGTTAAAACAAAATACAGATGTGTGTGAAGTCCATGTGGGTTACATTACAATTACACATTGCCATCAGGTTCCTGACAAGCAAAACAGAAAGCGAACATGTATAAACAAAGTTAAAATATAAAAGTCATGCATCATTTTAATTAAAATGGAGGGGCACAATATGTTTTAAACGAGTGGCAGGCACCTTCAATTCGCCAGTCATTTGGGTAACTTTTTGGCACAAAAATACAATTTTGGTTTCTTCTGATCAGGAAAGGAGATTGATACTGAGGCCTATCTTATGTTTTAAAAAAGCCCCAACAAGATGTTGCCCATGCCGGAGGGGCCGAATTTGTGTTTCTAAAATCTCTGGTAAAGGGGTACTTTTCTCGCGACAAAGTCCGCCCCAAGAATTGATTTTAAAAAGGGGTGTTTTTCCCCCCTCTTTGGACTCCTAGAAATTTAAAAACGGGGTTTCAAAATATCAAAAAAGTGGGTGTTTTTCTCTCTCTCTCTCTCTCTCTTTGGACTCGTGAGAAATTTTAAAAAGGGGATTATAAAACATCTTGAATATCATACATAGGGGGGTACATTGAGCAGTGTTTCGGATTTAGGGGGGCCCCAAAGCAGGAAAAAGCCCGCAATAAGCCTGCTAAAGGGGGGTTCAGAAATGTTGACAGTCCTGACATAAGGGAGACTTTCAAAGGGATGGAATGAGCAAACGCGTGCCGGGAAACGCGTACCCCAAATAACACTGAGTGGGGGGGGGGGGGGGGGACCATACCGATTCTTGACCATTGCAGAAAGTTGTCCAAGAAGATATTACGCAACTTGTAAGAAGCATCTCATTGCGCATGCGTATTTCACCTATGGACCGGTTTTGTAGCCTGATGTAACTCGGATGAATTTTACAAAATTGGTGTTCAGTTGTTCACGACTTATGCTTACAATACTGAACTGAGGTAAGATGCTTTATGTTTACTGTATTTCTCATCTAGCTGTATTTATTTCTACCATTAAAGCTTCGTTTTCGTGTACGTACATTATTTAGTCCGTATAAAATCAAGATTGTTTGGCACTACAGTCCCATACGTTCCGAAACATGTCGTGTTTTGTGAAAATGATGATGGGATGTGCAAAGTTCGGAGAAAGTTCTTGCACCTTTGATATTAGGAATGTGACAATCACATTCGATCCATGTTTTCTAATATTCTACATGAATTTGTTGAAATCAATTACTACCAAGTGAACATGAAAATTATAGACTAGTCTACAAATTGGTGCAACTAGATAAATTAATCGGAATAATTCCACTTTTTTTCCAGCGATATCATCAGGTTATCATTTATCAAGAATGCGTTACAACCTACAAAATACACGTCCTAGTTACAGACAAAAAAAATCCAATTTGCACACAATAGTTAACGGATAGTTTATTAAAAACAACAAAAACAATCTTTCAGATCTAGACTAGATAATTACAGAAATTGCCAAGAAATATATAGATGGAGTCTACAATCTTTTTACATTTACCTTTAGTACTACCGCAAATACTGGAAGAATGCTGAGACAGCAGTCGAGCTTCCAGGTCTATCTTCTTGGTCTATCTTCTTGCACTCATACTCTTTAATAATAATTCTCATTATATGCAAGGGAGGCAGAGGGGCAAGAGGTTGCATCTTGACTGGACAATGTACCATGTACAATGTCCCAGGAGCAAAGAAATTGAAAAAATCAGTTCGAGTATTGAGAGATATGACACTGTTCCTTCCAGCAACGATCAAGCCTGGTTTTGAAGGCGTCTATGGTGGGAGCCTGAACTACTACTTCAATTACAATTACAATTACTTTACAATTTTGATGACATCTGTCACGCCGCGGCCCAGTGCAAATGCAAAGGACAGAATATTCTTCATGCTTTTGATAGAAGAAGTTTGACTAGATCTACTCAAAGAATGGCTAAGGTGGAGAAAATGGATTGAAAATTTTAAAAAATCAGGAAATAATGTTATGCTTTTTGATTAAATTTCAAATGACAAGTCACTCCTGGCGCTCCCGATAATTACCCTGGCTTTACTTTAGCACGGTTGCCATTACGGCGCTCTAGCATTTTAAGGAATTAATTTCGGCGCTAGTGTAGTTCCGTATCTGTTTTCAGAGGCTTCCCGATGTCGGATGTGATCCAAATTCAGATGGAAAATGCAATATATGATTATGATTAAAATTAGTAAAAAATTGGGCTAAAATTCCTTTGCTAAGAATGGATATGAATCTGCTAAAAAAATGGATACGGAACTACACTAGCGCCTTAATTTCTACCAATATAAGACAGGTATGTGACTAAATTAGATTTCCAAGTCTGCAGTAGAGAAATAAAACGATGCATCAACTGCATCCAAAACCAATGCAGTTTATCATGGATCAATTTATATCTCTCCCTTCAATTTTAAATAAGTTTACTTTCAGAAGTTGGTTCTACAAAAGGGCTAAAGAGATAAATATATACTGGTATGTAGATAAGTAAGTGTGTAGTGGTGCAAAACTATCATACTCATAGTTAATTGTAAAGGTAGCTGGTGTCTGGTTTGAATTTTGCATGAGCCCAGAAGTACTGATAATTTAGTTGCAGAGTACCTGCAGCAGTAAATAGCTTTTGGAAAGACTTTTTCTTCATTCCCTCTGTCTCGTTGAAAACTTGATTTTTTGATTAAGATTGAGTATCAGTTGGCTTTTGCTTTTTCAGTTTCTCCACTACAGGAAAGCATTGGAGACATGATGCAGGTGTCATCAGCTCATCTCCTTGGTTTAGCCAGGACTGCATCATCTGTATCAGTTCCTCTGCAACGGGGCATTCTCCATAACAACCTGCTTCAGAGAATCACCTCCTTGAAATCTGATCATCTCTTCCACTCAACCAGTGCAATGAGGAATCCTCTACATAGATCCCATATTTCACTTTTCAAAGCCATGACATCACACCAAGGATGTGTAAGAACTTCTCAAAGTGCCCTCAAACCCTCGTCTCACTTTGGACAAGGATGCCGTCTAGCTCACACCTCCAAACCATTGGGTTGCATGAGTACCACATCAAGACTCTCCAGGCCCAATGAAGGTCAATATCTCTTCAGGAACTGTCCACTTTATGCCACAAGAGGTCTTTGCGTGGCAGAACCGGTGCGTTTCAACAGCTCGCAGAGTAGGAGCCAGACTAGGAGTGCATGGCGGGAGAGGAATAAATCTGTCATGCTCTATGTAGTTGCTGGAGCTGTCCTTGTGGTCGGGTTTTCATATGCAGCCGTTCCCCTCTACACAGTATTCTGTCAGGTAACGTACCAATACATGATTTTATTAAGTAAAAATGTGGTAGAACTACTCAAGAAATTCTTGCCTTACTAGAGTGTCATGATAAAAACCTTGCTATAAAAATGTTTACTTGGGAATCAGTACCATGTCAATTTCTAGTTTTGCTAACATTTTTAAAGTAATGGTTACCTCAAGTCAGCAGATGTGCATAATAGAGGAAGAACCTTGATTTTGAATCTTAAATCAAATTTTTTACATTTAAAATCAACATGTTAAGTTTGCCCTTGATAAGGTGTAAACTGTCATAATGCCAAGAAAATCTAATTTTCTGTTGGTCTATATTGACAAATGTATACATTAATAACGAATCAGATGTTGGTTAAGTATATCAGCTGAAAGTATATAATCAGGTGAACCAGATAAATATTTTCTAAATCTTACTCCAACAATGCCCACAAAGATTGGTCTAACTGTATTAATTAACCTTTGACCTTTGACCTCCAGGCCACAGGATTAGGAGGTCAGGCTACTGCAGGTCATGACACTGAGAAGGTGGAGACCATGGCTCCAGTGAGAGGTAGAGAGCTCGTGATCCGATTCAACGCAGACACTGCTGCCAGCATGAGATGGAACTTCAGACCTCAACAGAGTGAAGTCAAGGTTAGTCCAATCACAAAAGCATGTGCTTAATTACAGAATACTCCACCATGTGTCAGGACAAGTAAAGTGTCGTAGTCGAGTGGTCTAAGCACTGGACTTGGAATTCAAAGGTCGTGGTTCGATCCCGATACGGCACTAATGTCCTTTGGCAAGGCATTAATCTTCATTTGCCACACTCGATCCAGGTGAGGTAAATGGGTACCTGGCAGGAATTAATTCTTTGAAATGCTAGAGCGCTGTAATGGCAGCTAAGTTAAAGCTGGGGTAATAATGAATGCGCCTCGGAATAGAATTTTCTAGAGAAATGCCTATTATTATTATTATCATTATTACAATGGAGATCAAGACTAGGGTCAGGGCTTGAAAGGTGTTGTGGCCTAGTGGATAAGTCACCAGGCTATAGATCACAAGGTCCAGGGTTCGATTCTCTGCCATGGCACTAACATCCCGTAGCAAGAAATTAATCTACATTTGCCACTCTCTACCCATGTGAAGTAAATGTGGGTATCTGAAGCACCTTATGGAAGCACTGCTAAAGCCAGGATTATAATAGTATTCAATATTTTGTATCCTTGTGTAAAATTGTTCTTATTATTCTATGTACACCATTGTAAATAGAAGTTGAAGAATTTTGTATTGGAAGTTTAAATAGAAGAAGCATGTACGAAAAGATACAGCTAGAGCATTTTACATTTTGAACTCCAACCCCTTCAAGGTTGTACCTGGTGAGACCGTGCTAGCCTTCTATTCAGCTATGAACTCTACAGAACCATTTGATGCTATGAGAGTGACTACCAAAAAATCTTCTCAAAGTCAAACCATTATAGGGAATGTTTCCATCTACTGGTACATGTTTTATTGTTACCCATCATGATTTTATATTCCAGTAGGCCTAACCAAGGTTTAATGCCTGTTGGATTATCCTTCTCCTTATGTGATTGCATAAATATGCTCTTACTATATCCGAATTAGTTTGGTTATACTTCTTGTTTTGTTTTTGTTGTTATTATTATTGATATTGGTATTATCATCATCATCATTATTATTATTAATATTGTTATCATCATTATCATTATCATTATCATTATCAATACTATTATCATTATCATTAATCATATTCAAATCTAAAACCCACCTTTCCAGCTTGTCCCTGGTGAGACGGCGCTGGCCTTCTACTCAGCCATGAACCCTACAGACAAGCCCATCGTTGGCATCTCAACGTACAACGTGGTGCCTTTCGACGCAGGACAGTACTTCAACAAGATTCAATGCTTCTGCTTTGAGGAACAGCGGCTGAACCCTCATGAACAGGTATGGTTCTATTTAAAGAGAAGGTTGAGTTCTGGGACTACAGAGCCTTGTTGTGCCAGTATAAGCGATAGTGAGACCAGCTTGGGGGGGGGGGGTGTTTTACAAAGATCCTAAGTTGAACTTAACTCTAAGTTGGACTTAAAAGTTATGGAAAGCCATTTGTAGCCTTTAAATAAAATATATTCAAAAGCAAAAATTCAAGTATTTTAGGCATTTCATAAATTCCACATCAAGAACATGAAATCTTGATTTAAAAAAATATGAATGAGTTGAATCAACAATTATATGCCTTTTAAAATAAGTTTTACAAATATTTTCATAGATGCTAATGGCCTTCCATAACTGTTAAGTCCAACTTGGAGATAAGTTCAACTTAGGATCTTTGTGAAACACCATCCAGAGAAAATAGCAAAGATGCTTGGGGTGATAGAGAGAGAGAAGGTTGTGGAGTAGTTTTGATAGTATAGGTCAACAAGATGTTGTGATACAAGTTCAATGAGGGTCACATTTGTGGTTGGGTCAGGTCAACTAAAGTGTCTTTCTTGTGGTAAGACATTTCAGGTCATAAAAACCATGTGAACTTACAAAGAAGGTGAAGTGAAAGTAATAAGTAACAATCGAGTCTACTGAGGCTAGCATGATTTCTTGGTGTGGGTCATGGGCTCACGGCCCAGTCAAACGATATAGGATTCTAAGATATAAAGGTGTAAAGTTATTCAAAGTTAAACTAACTTAATCACCCTGAACCACCTGGAACATGCTTTTCAGAAAACTTTTTACCAAGACCCTGTTTTCTATCTCTCTTCTTTGATTGCTATCACATAGGTGGACATGCCTGTGTTCTTCTACATCGATCCAGACTTTGATGAAGACCCAAAGATGGCAAAGGTCAATAACATTACTCTGTCATATACCTTCTTTGAGTCAAAGGAGGGGCTGGAGCTTCCAGACCCATGGTCAAGGCCGGAATGACCATCAGAATGAACATCACAATGATTATCAGAATCAGCGATCATCAATTAGAAAGACCATCAGAAAACCATCAGTTTGACCACCAGAATGTCATCATTATTAATGGCCGTTGGACTGGCCGTCAGAGTGACCATCAAAATGACCATCAGAGTGAATATCAAAATGACCACCAGAGTGACCATCACAATGACAATCACAATGATAGTCAGAATGGCTATCAGGATTACCAACAATGAACCACCAGAATGATCAACAGAACGTCCACTAGAATGATTATCAGAGTGACCATCAGAGACTGACCATGAGAGTGACCATCAAAATGACAATCACAATGATAGTCAGAATGGCTATCAGAATGACCACAATGAACCACCAGAATGATCAACAGAACAACCACTAGAATGATTATCAGAGTGACCATTAGGCTGGCCATCAATAACGAAGATCAAAATGACATTTTTTAGAAGAAAAAGTTAATTTGATTATGAATTATTGTCATTATTCTGTGATATTCAGTAATATATATTAGACACAAATTGAATGGGTATATAACTCTGGACTTGCCCTGCAATGCTCCGTCCATCTTTTCAGTACATAATAAATACATCTACTGATAACAGTCTGTTTTCAGAGCCAGAAAGTGTGTCAATTACGAAGTATATGAGTTAACGGCTTAACGCCTTTCTAGCTCCAAACAGGTATGACGATATGACTGTTCATTCTCAGGTGTTTTTCCAAGGGCAGGTCCACACACGAGAGTCATCTGGGGCCCGTTTCACAAAGCCTTTTTTCAATGACAAATGTCAAAAATCAGTGACAAATCTGCTGATAACCAATCAGAAGCAAGGATTTCACTAGCTTATAACAAAAACTGTCATTTGTCACTGATGACAAGTTTTGTGAAACGCCTCCCTGGTTAGTTCTTTCTCCATCCCTCTTTACAATTAGCCTTCTGCTGTAATGTGTCATATGTTGTATAACTATCACATCGGACACCATCCCAATATTTTGTTGTTACTGGTCGTAAATCAATCTTATGCAAATTCTGAAAAGAAGGTGCTGCCCTCTATTGGTGAGCAAATGTGAGGATATGTTCATGTTTGGCTAAAATTTCATATCTAGCTTATGAGGTAAGATTTTTAATGCATGAATAGAAACTGTCAAAAATCCTTTAGTTACAAGGATTTTGATTCAAGACAACAATTTGAAGGAAATAACTGACTTTTAAGATTTAGATTGTTTTAAAGCTGATCTGTACTAGTTTATAGGAGGGATTAGACCATTCTGCAAGGTCACTGGACAGGTGGTTATCTCATCAACTCGGCTCTCAATTAACATGGTCACCGATTAGGCATTGTTTTCTATATAGAGGGAGCAAGTAGCTACAAGTAGGACAGTGTGGCTTTAAATACGAAGTATTTTTAGTGTGGGCATGTAGGTCTGTGTATTTAACCATTTTCTTGAAGTTTTCAAGGAGAAAATTAGTTTGCATTGTTACATATCATCTCATCCACTTTGACTGTTTTGTAAAGAAAGTGATTTTTTTAAAGGAGACTCTAAAAGGGGTAACTCAAACTAGTCAAAAAGTGGATTTAAGTTTTTTTTAAATTGTTTAAATGTTCATAATCAAATGTAAATCACCGCATCACAAAATGCAGGTTATTTCCTGACTTACATTTTGCATTTTGTTATAGATCACAATTGAGTAGTTTTCAAGGCAAGATGATTATTTCTGAAATTTCTTCAGGATTCAATAGGAATGTATTGATGGATCCTAAATCATCCATGAAAATGATTCTTGATTGCTAGTCTTACTAGTACGCTTCATCATGGTTGCATATTTTCTATTTTAATTCATTTATTTCGATTAATGGTAGTTTAAAAGTGTGTGAACTGTGAATAACAGCCATGGGTACATTATTTGAAGGAATAGAATACACTTAAAATGGAAATTAAATGCAAAGATTGTATCTATTTAATACTTGTCTTCAATGTTTATGTTTTGTGCTAATTTGATTTATAGGCCCACCTTACCTACCATTAAACATCCTAGCAAAAGCTAGTGATTTAAGCCAATGAGATGGGGGTCCCATTATTCATGGGATTGGTTTTGAAGTCCCCTGAGAATTTTTTTAATGCGTAACAGGTAAAAATGAAAATGAGGAGAAATTATGGCCGATTACTGAAAGCAATATCATTTAGTTACAATACAATATTTGATGGTGACTAGTAGAAATTATCTGCTGAATTACCATTTCAAAATGATGAGTTAATGTTTATATTGCCAGAAACGTGAGAAGTCTCTTAAGTCTAATAGACTCAATATGGAAAAGAAAAATAAAGATGAGAGAGAGAGGGGGAGGCATTATTATTTTGTTAATGATTAAGTCTAGAGCTGGTAAGGGAGGGATAAAGAGAGGTGGAGAGAGAGAGAGAGAGAGAGAGAAGGAGGAGGAGAGAAAGAAAGAAGGAAGGAGATACAAGAATCGGTTTAATGTCTACGAAAATATGAGGCTTTTTTTATACGGGGATGGGGTCGTCAGACCAACGCTTTTAGAAATTGACAAAGAACTTCAGACGGGGAATAAAAAGATTAATCATTGGATTTTTTTCTTTAAATCGCACCGTAGGAAATATTGACTATTTCTTGCAAACTAACACCTGGATCTTGTGTCGATGATGTGCTTCTGTTCATTGAGCTTATAGAGATGTATTTACGAAAAGTATTGCCAGTTTAAACCTCTGTTTTGGGGGTACAATTAGGTTTCCCAATGACCGAATTCCTCAATAAATGTTAGAAGATTCTTGCAAGTTTTAGCCATAACAATCCCAATATCCTTGGTAAGAGCTGTTTGTCGTATACATGTATTTACTTCTTTAGATCATTGCAGATTTTGTCAAATATTTGCAGTCGCTTCTTCCTGGTATAAACGAAGGTTTCATAACCTACCTTTACAAACTGTCGCCTTCCCGGTACTCGATAATGGTCAAGGTGATCGTAAAACTCTTGACCTTTAATGTAACACTTTTAAACGTAGGATAGCAACCGTAACAACGACCATATCTTTAATCAAGACGCGTTCATATTAGTCTACTAAATGTGTTAACTTGTGCATGTATGAATGATTCAACCGGGCTCGGAGTCAGATAGAGAACTTTAGTTTACAAGTGAGATTCAATTACAGATGCGGAGTTATTTCATCACCCGTATCTAAAGTAATTGTCGTTTCTATTTTGGGATATCGCCCCATATCGCAGATATAGGATACCAGAACACCTTTAGTATCAAATATGGCATATAAGTATATTTGATAAAACGTGAATATTAATTGGAACTATTTAGTAGAAAAGGATTTATACATGCCTAGGAGAGGTTTTGGTCACCTTAGATTAAAGGACCGTTCTTACAAAATATTTTTTTTCTTCTCAAAGCTGTTTGCAGAAAATAATTCTTTGGATAGACTTTCTTTGAAGTCCTGGTTGATAATATTGAATAAGATAATAGCGAAGGAAACGAGATTAAACGAAATCAAATGAAATAATCTAGTATTTTATCTAACTTGATATAGAGAGAGAAAAAAAACGAGAGATAGAGAGAGAAAGGGAGAGATAGAATGGGAGAGACAGAGAGAGACAGAGAGAGAGAGAGAGAGAGAGAGAGAGAGAGAGAGAGAGAAAAGGAAAGAGAATTTTATCTTTAATTGGTGTATCTCGATTTAAGCGTTGTCACTTTATCTCCCAAAAGATCTCCACGTGGGTTTTTTTTTTGTTACAACGCTGTTCGTTTATGCAGGTGATTTTAAATATAATTGTCGGAAACGAATGCAAATTTCTGATATTTGTATTGCTTATCGCTGCCGGTCACGATTTAATTTATAGCGATATGCCTGAAATAATACACGTTCAAGACGTATATTATACAGGCCCAAGATAACGCAAATGTTTAAAGGAATAAAGACAGTATAATGCACTGCTTAATACAACAGACATTCACGATATCAATCCATGAGCATACAGTGAATTAATGAGAATGATAATAAAGGACGGTCACTGCAGATTTTATTAGTTTTTGAAGATTAAATTTGTTTACATATTCTTGAATATGTAAATATTTCTTGAATAATATTTGAATAGAAGGGTGGTGACACAAAAATGGAATCCTCCGAACTGCTGAGGTATAGGTGAAGGGCTATGGACGTGGCCCCCAACCATGCCCATGACATTTATGAGCTTATTCCCCTTTTTTCTGTTTTCCTTCTCCTTCTTCTTTTTCTTTTCTTTTTCTTTTTCTTTTTTTTTTTTTTTTTTTTTTTTTTTTTTTTTTTTCTTTTTCTTTTTCTTTTTCTTTTCTTTTTCTTTTTCTTTTTCTTTTTCTTTTTCTTTTTCTTTTTCTTTTTCTTTTTCTTTTTCTTTTTCTTTTTCTTTTTCTTTTTCTTTTTCTTTTTCTTTTCTTTTTCTTTTTCTTTTTCTTTTTCTTTTTCTGTTTCTTTTTCTTCTTCTTTAGTAGTAGTAGTAGTTGTAGTAGTATTATTATTGTGTTATTTTCATTAGTATTATAATTATAATTTATAGTATTGTAATTATTATAAGCAGTAGTAGTAGTAGTAGTAGTAGTAGTAGTAGTAGTAGTAGTAGTAGTAGTAGTAGTACTAGTAGTAGTAATATTATAGTAATCTTAGTATTACTTATAACTTAATTTAAGCAGTCGAACAGGGGGGTTGGAGGGGCATGGCCCCCTATAGGCCCAATCGCTACGCCTGTGTTAACATTTCTCATGATAATCCACTGCACTGTATAGTCGCGATTACAATGGTAAGAAAATATTGATTGAGATTGGTCTTAAGATGGGGAATATAAATAGATACAATCCGGATTTAAGCGTTCTCCCAGGGATAAAACCGAGGAGACTCGATGTTAACGTATTGACAAGAAGAGCTCGTATTAATCATTTCTAATGATTTTTAATCCACATGGGGGCGCTTCGTGTACGTCAGAAGTGACCATGTAGGGTTTATTTATATCTGAATTGCTGTTGTTGCTTCGCCTTATGGGGAGAGGGAAGATTTCATTATCTAATTAGTGGAAAGAGGGGGCAGCGATCGACATGAGTCTTTTCCCCCTTTCTTCTCTCTTCTTTATCATCTTCTGTTCATGTCTCTGTTTCCACCCCCTCTCTCCCCCCCCCCCCTCTCTCTCTCTCTCTCTCTCTCTCCCCTCTCTCTCTCTCTCTCTCTCTCCCCCCTCTCTCTCTCTCCCCCTCTCTCTCTCTTCTCTCTCTCTCTCTCTCTCTCTCTCTCTCTCTCTCTCTCTCTCTCTCTCTCTCTCATTACCTCGCCTCGTATCTTCATCATCCTATGTATCTTCCTCGGTTATTTTACTTTTTCAGTTTTCTTTCCTTTCCCTTTTCTTTACCCCACTCTTCAATACTATCTTTCTCCTTCCTTACCTAACAAGATTGCAAAGTTTGTCGTAGTATATCAACCTCAGGTAATTGCAAAGTGTTCCCATCATCCATATATTTGCGTTTTATTGCACTTATTGTCTTTCCCATCTTCGCAATTCTACCCATTGAAAAAGCAAAGTGTATAGAAATAATATGTTTAATCGCGCATAAAGTATGGAAATGCGCACAATGTGTACGGTGAATGTTAAGGGGTAGAGAAAATATATGATAGAACAGGGGGGGAAAAAGTTTATATTTGAGTTGTAGTGGACTATATGATGTTTTTGTCATTTCACATTCCTGTAAATGATTGTAAATAGCCAGTTGGCTTTTATGTTATTTTTGAGTACCCAATAAAAAATAAATAAAAAAAAGAAAGGTATAGGAAATCGA